TAATTCTTCATGAGGTGTAATTTGCCATGATCATTTTTCTTGGCATTTAGGTGCTGTGAACAGTTCATTATTCATAGCTAACTTTTTTGACTTCTGAGTCTTCAAAATGGATATGTCTGCATGAATTTTCTGGGGGTTAGAATTTTTTCCAGATTTTGATTTTAGGAAAAGATTGTTTGTTGTATGTTTAAAAACACTTCTCTTTAGTGCCTATAAATAACTTATTCTTAATTGTGTCTTTTTTATACATAGAAAATCAATTTCTGTTCATTGTGGAACATGGTCAGTGGAGTATACATAATTCAGGTATCAAGAATGGGTGCTGATTATTTGCTGAATGCAAGCTACTTTCAGTGTACATGTGTGACAGCCTCAGTTCAACATGCAGACCTTCTTTTAGACTGCTGATAGCAAATTTTGTAATATAAAAAAATTATATTTACATTTATTGAGCCATTGGCTATTGCTTATGCATGCAATAGGGAGATAAGGCTGTCTTAGTCTGTGGGTAGTTTTCCAAATGATTCATTAACTGTGCTTTGTAATGGTAGATGGATGTCACACATTTACTGTAATAAATGAAGATTAGTGTCAGTTACTTCAGCTTGTAATAGTTTATAATTGTAATAGTTGTGTTTATACATACAGGTATTTTTTGCATTATTGTTGGAGCTAATATTTTAGCAGGAATAAGTTGAAATTAATTGCATTAATTGAAAAAACAATGAAGATGTGACAGAAGTATTTCTGAAACATTAGTAATGTAGGAATTGCTCTAATGGGTATTTGTGGCAGATACTCTGTGGGAGTGGTTTATACCAAGCCTTTTGGTAAAGCACTGTTTTGCAAAACACTGGCAAAGCTTATGTTGTCTTCCCCAAAGCATTTATTTGTGAAATCTGTCAAACTAAAATACCTTGTACTTTGCTGATACATTACCATAGTGAGAAAAGTAGTACACCAGGAAATCATCGTTTTTAAAAGCAGCAGTCTGATGAAATGCATGCACAATTTGAAACGTGTAACTTAGAAAATCAGTGTTGAAATTCTATCAGAGATAGTATTTGTCAGTGTTAGAATATTCAGGTTATTGGTGGCTAAATGATCAAAGGTCTATTAGCAATAAATGCAGTTTATTCTTCTTCAAAGATACTATTACTATATATATATAGAGTATCATATTGCAGTATTGGGAGTTTGGCAAGTTATTGCCCCCAAAAAATAAAATGCCTCTTTATACCAGTCGCATGTGAATGTCATCACACATGACATTTGCACTGTAATATTTCAGGACCGGTAGTAACTGCCTAAATTGGGTCAGAAAAGGTCTACCTAAAGATGTTGCTCAGAGCACAGATATTGCTAATTTTACTTGCTTATGGAGGTTTAAGAATACCTTCAGGGATAAGTGTGTTTTGTTTTTAAAAAATGAACATTGAGGTTAAGTCACTCCCGAATTTTCAACATTTGTTTTGCCTGTATCCAGATAAGCACTTGATGAGTTAGGCAGACTTAGAGCTTTCTTTGATATTTTGGTAGAAATTAATTGCAGCCCAGTACTTTCCTGTATTTAAAAAAGTTATTACCCGTAATTAAAACATAGTAAGTTAACTGTGTGCCCTGGAAACCGGAGTATTGATTTTAAAAATGTTCACATTGTGATGCAGGTATTGAATTAAAAATTTAAATCTTACTGTTGTGGATAGAGAAAAAAAGCATACAGCGACTGTCATGTTGAAATCTATTTGAATAAATAATCTTCCTCTTATGTAATGTGCTGACTGATGTGGAATCAACAGCTACTTAATATTAAAAACAGTGCTTGACGATAAACATCCCAGAGCATGCACACTGAACTCTGCCCGGGGTTTGAGGTTCAGGCGTGCTGGGGACAGGAGCCAGGGCTTACCTTGTTGTTAGCCCTGCCACTGTAAGTCTTCACTCATGGCAGGAGTCGGTATGCACACCTAAAGCAAGAGTTAGTCCTTTGTGCCTATGAGAACTTCGAAAGCAAGCTCTGCTACAGAACTGCTTTTGCACAGAAATCACTCTGTAAATGGAGACTTAAAATCATGCAGTTAAAAAAAAATCTGAAATCCTTTATCAGAAATGCCTTTAATAATTCTTCAACATTTCTCTTTATCCATTATCGCTTTTTTAATATGTATATAGCAAATGGATTTTCAGTAACCTATGACTTGGCAATAATTTGAAGGGCAGATAAGCCTTGATTTTCCTTTCTACTATTAAAAAATCAAGACAACCTAATTGGAGTTGAGAGTAACTAGGAAGAAAACCTGGCACCTGGTGCAAAATTAGTTTATGCCAAGATACTTTGAAGTATATGAGGAAATGTACTTGTTCGGGAACAGATTTTTACCGAGCAGCTTACTCCTAATGTTCCGACTGTTTTAAATGTCTTGGATTGAATTCTGTTCCTTTGCTTGGTGGGGAAGGCATGGATGCTGCAAATTTAAGTAAAAAGCATTTGCAAAATGCCTAAGTAGGACACCAAGCAGTTTGGAATTTTGTTTTCTTTCACAGATTTTAAAAGATCCAGGGTTATTGTCTACTGCGGGGAACTATAGATAGCTTTGGAGTCTGTTGCTAAGAATAGATGATGTACCTTCCTCGGTGTGTTGTGCAGAAGTCCTGCTTCTGCTGAAACTGAAACCAGTGGTCTGGTATTCCTGCCAGCTCCAGAGGGGCAGGATCAGTCCCTAAAACTGCAGCTTATCTTGTGGGGTTTTATGTTGGGAAGAATATGGTCCAGCGATGTAAAGGCACACAGGAAGCTGCCATTAACCGCGTCAGCTGCTTCACTCATCCTCTGACTGCGCGGTAGCATCGGAACTGGGATTTTTTTCCCCCAGTTTGAACCGAGTGGATGCGGATGCAGCCCGTAGGAGCAGGCTGTGCTGAGCTGGAGCGCGGCCGCCTTGGGGTGCGAACCCCGGCCCCGCAGCAGCTGCTGGCGGAGCTCAGAGCCCGCGTCTGCCGTGGGGTCGCGGAGGTGCGGAGATCAAAGGATGATCTTCCAGCTGGAATCCCGAGCTAAACAGATTTAGCAGCATCTGAAGCGTTTAAGTAGTACGTGTGAGTAAATACATGGATGGAACGAAGGAAGTATGGCCGATGCCGGGTAGAAGGGGGAATCTCGAAGGAAGAGTGTGTGGGGCTGGCACAGCTTGGCCAAGGATGCCAGCAGTGCTTGGTGCCACGTGGCTGGTAAAATTGGCAGGGGGATTCTGGTTTGGATATGCCCATGTCTTTCAAGAAGTGACTATTTTTGTGCAGTTTATTTTCAAAATGATTCTGCTGTGTGGTTTTAAGGCATTTCTGTTAAGCACAATGTGGCAAGGCTTCTTTTTATTTAAAAGCTGTTAAACCAAGTAGCTATTCCTGGGCTTGATAATAAAAATAATGGTAATTCAAAACTTATTTCCATTGATAAAAAAGAGGGTTATATCCTAAATGAGGCATTTAACTAACGCTGAAGCATTTCAATTAAAAAAAAGACATGACCAGAATATAACCTATTTAGACTCTGAGCCACCCTCTTGCAGTTAATTTTAGAATAGACACCCTTTTTTTGGTGTGTGTGTGTGCGTCCCTATCCTCCTGAATTACAGGCCTAATTTGTCACAATATGTACCTCCCTGGATTTAAAAAAGAAAGTAAATTAAGCCTTTAGTAATTATAATAATTACAGGATCTGAAGAATACCAGGTTCAGAGTGTGTGTGGTGCCTTAGCCCTCTGCTCTCCCATGTTTGTCACTGTCCCTGGGCAGTGGAATCTCCTGCCTGGGGCAGCAGTTTGCATCAGTGACCCTCTGGTGGAGGGAGGCTGAGCCCATCCAAGGGATGATCTTCGATTCCTGTGAAGCTGCACATCAGAAATTTCACAGCAGACAGCAAAAGCCACCATTTACACGGCTTTAATTTATCCAGATTTGAGACTAAGATGATGCCCTTCCTTTGGCATTACTGGTGACAGTGAAGATGGGGCTAGAAGCCACAGTAGAGGCAGATTATACAGAAAAAGCTTGAAGTACCCAGGTTTTTCTGCTTCCATTGTTTGTGTGTGCAGTTTTGGGATGAAAACTTGTGTTCTGCAGATAAACATGCAGGCAGCTTTGCTCACGTGATGGGTGGCACTGGTGACAATGGGGCTACTGTCCTGCAACACACTTTGCTAAGCTGGATTGTTATTTGTTGTTTTTTGGAAAGGTCTATTTGAGTCTCCTCTGTGAAAACTGGAGTTTTGTGTTTCATGATAGATGTGCTTGTTATACTTCCAGCCTTCACCTGTGCCTGATAAGCCTTTCTTTGATTAAACCTTTTTGATTCTAGTAAATATCTGAAGACCTTTGTATCTGTGAAGATTGCAAATCCAGGGCTTTATTATTTAAAGAGGTGTCAGTTCATTAGTGAAAAATATAGGTGGAGAATATAGGTCATCACTGGAACCAGTAAATGGTATGTCTTGGGACACAGAGTTTATTAATTGAAGGCAAGCTGAGTGACGACACGGTGCAGATTGACTGTGCCTGGTTAATGTTGTTGTCATTGCACTCTGTGATACAGTTATTAAATAGGTAAAATATTTTACCTTTTCATATAGAGCCATACACTTACTTCATCTGATTTAATGGAACTGTAATTTTAATTATGATTATTACCTTAAATTATAATTAAATTTATGTGGTTTAAATTTACATTTGTGAAAATGGCTGCGTGATGAAAGCAGAAATCAGCTTCGCATTAACAAAAAAAGAAGGTTTTTTAACTGCATCTTAGTATATGCTCACAGCCAAAGACTAGCATGACCTACTTTGCAACAATAACAGAGGAATCAAGCAGGGTTTTTTTGTTGAAGTATCTAAATTGGCCATGAATGCTACCTACTCATTCGTTTGTGAGTATCTTTAAAAATAGCTATTGTATCTATGAAACTTAAGGGTGGTTTTTTTTCCCCCTTTCTCTTCTTTTGCTGTAGATAATTAGCACCATGGAGCCTCAGGTGTCGAATGGCCCTACTTCCAATACAACCAATGGACCCTCCAGCAACAGTAGAAACTGCCCTTCCCCCATGCAGACAGGGGCTGCTACAGATGACAGCAAAACCAACCTCATAGTCAACTATTTACCCCAGAACATGACCCAGGAGGAGTTCAGGAGTCTCTTCGGGAGCATTGGTGAAATCGAATCCTGCAAGCTCGTGAGAGACAAAATCACAGGTAAGCGCTTCGTGTCGCGGACTTTGCCTGCGTTAGGGTCAGCTTATATCTGGGGTCAGCAGAACCTTGGTGCTTGTACTGCAAGTGCTAACACAGGGAACGCAGCAGATGCAGTGCTAAGCTTCAGGGGCAAGCCTTTTGTTTTCAGTGCTGCACACTGGATCTGGAACTGCTGAGAAGCCCCTTGTCTGTCTCTCATCCTCTGCACATCTGGGGGAGAAGTCTGAACATTGCCGGTCTGGATGTGTGTTACACACTGTGCAGCTTCTCACCGGAGAGCTTAGACAGTGTGGCCTTTGCTTTCCTGTTCATTCTCATTTTATTGAACATGTACTTGTCTGAATGGCTTGGGCCAGCTGACAGTTCCTAATTCTGACTCTGACATTTGAGCTTTACCAGACCCTCATTAGATTTCTGCCTGTTTAAGAACACTGTAAGGTGAGGTGGGGCTGCATGTCCATCACAGCTTATTGACCATGGTGTTCTGAATCAGAGAAGGAATGAAAGCCTCCCATGGCAGATGCTGCCTCAACAAGAAGTGTCTGCACTGTCACTAGAGGAGGTGTGGATGGGTGCAGATGCACCTGGCCTAATCCACATCCTTTCTGCCGCAGCCAGGAATTCACTGGTGCACAAGATGGGATGAACAATCAGCTTTTATAGCTTGCTTTATAGGTTAGTTTTATAGGTTGTGTGTCTACTCACACCGTAGGTGGGAGCAGCTGAAATTTCACTGCTGTTCAGTGCATCACCAGGGCTGTTATGTTTAGCACAGAGAGCAGCAGCCTTGGGAGGGAAAGGGTTCCAGAAAAGGCGTCAGCTCCCCTCAGAGGCTCTCCTGGCAACCTGGGTGTGTGCTCTGTGGGAAGAGGCACCATGGGAAGATGAGGAATTAAAATGCAAACCTTCGTACCTGTTTCCGTAACATCCTGGCAGCCATTGTATTGGCAGCATTAGGATGATCTGCTTAGTGCTTTTCAACATGCAATGCTTCTTTTTTATTTACTTCCTGACACACAGCAATGCTGTGGTTGAACACAAGGCACATAACAAATGGCAGTAGCTGCAGGGCAGCTTGAGTCCTCACAAGTGTAGTCCAGCAGAGCTTTCTTTAGCACGTTGACCATGATGTATCTATTGCAATAAATCTGATTTGGCTGCAGCTTCGGGTGTTCTAAAAAGAAGATTGAAAAATAGAATTGACTTTTTATTTATTTTATTTTTTTTTTTACAGACCTTTGTTTCTCTTCTATTCTGAAAATGATGTGAAAAATTTAACTGCAGGTTAGTTCAGCTATTTCAGGCAGAAATGAAACCCTCATCTGCAGAAATCTAGGGTACCTAGCTTGAATTTTGATCTGGTGTTTCATGAGCTTTTACTTCTTACACTATCTCTCAAATTCATGATGTTCTTACAATATATTTTCAAGACTTTAGATACTTGGTGTTGTTTTCATAGGGAATGGGTTGTCTTTGGACAGAGAGCCATTACTTCATCAGCTAGGAACAGTATTCTTTTTGTTTCATTCCATCTCCAGGCTTTGTATTTCTGTTTGAAGATGTGAGAAATTTGCTATATGATCTTCTGACATATTCTCTAGTAGTTTTTTTGCCTATGCTTTTTCTTTCCATACGAAGTGCATAAATCTTTGATCACTAAAATACTTTAAAGGAACCATTCCTTAAAAAAAACTTACACAGATGCCCTGAGGACGTCACCCCTACATGTTGTTTTAAGTGGTGATACAAGTACAAAAAAGCCAAATTAAAAAAAAAAATAGTTCTCCAAATTATCTGTGCTGGTTTTGAAAACGGAATTTCATCTGCCAAGGTTTTCAGGCCTGTTATCAAGGCATTGTGCAACATTACTGAATTTGAGGATGCATGCTCATTCCTCACATTGAATTCAGAGTTAGTAAATCAAATGCAGCCCTTTGCCAGAAGCAGTTCATGTTTTTAAGGTTCTTAGAACATGGAGAGTAACAAAATGGAAATGCACTGAGGTCATAGCCAGCTCATCTTTCTGGATCATCGTGTAAGCGTGTTCTTCATTAGGCGCCTGGATTGGTTTTTTTGGGAGGGGAGGGGTGGAGGTATGCCAATAGGCTGCTAGAGGAGTGACTGCCTTTTCAGGGGTTCTTTGCTTTCTCCTTATTAAAAATCAATAGAAGTATTTTTTCTGACAGTGAAAGCTCTATGGCAAAAAACCCCAGTGAAATTCTTAAGCTATTTGCTGAAGCAGGGAAGATGTGAAACAGTTGAGATTTTTTTCTGCCTTTGGATTTTTCATTGTTTGTTGAAAATTTTGTGGCTTTAATAAATCTAAGCTAAGCATGCTCTGTTTCGTTATGCCTTCAAACAAATGTACTGTTTTTTCTATTAGAAGTCTGGTTTGTCTTCATATATTGTAAGTTTGCTTCCTTCTTGCTGGGCTGAATTATCAGGCAAATCAAAAAAATTCAGAATAAAAAGCTGTAGAGAGAGCTTGCTTCAAGAAAAATAGAAAAGGTCATAAACCAAATAATGATTAAACAGTTATCCTGGCAACACCATAGTAGAAAACCTCAAATGTATTTCTAAAGCCAGGCAGCATTGAATTGGCTCGTGTAAAAGATTCTGTCAAGGAGATGCAAAGGTTTTTTTTGGGTTTTTTTTGGAATAATGTTGAGTCTTCTGAAATGTTTTTTTTCAAGGAGGTAAAAGGTGTTATAGAAAGTCTGTTAAAACATACTGGATCTCTCTAATGAAACTCATGACCTGAACTCTTTTATTAATTTTAAATTTGGTTAAACAATGTATGACAGGAATAGTCATCTGCTCCAAATCTTTTTGCAGTCTTAGAACAGTAGTAGGAGTTTTTAATAAAATTGGTTTGTGAAGTTGCCCCCTCGCTTTGGAAAGGCACACGTTAAAACAAGCATATTCCTTTACTAAAAAACTATGCTAATTTGGTAGTACACCACACTGAGTTGAATAGGAATGACAGCTTCTAAGACAGCCTTTAATTTGGTATTCAAAACCCAAAATCGTAAACTTGGGTTTTGTTTGGTAGCTTCTCAGAACAGGCAGGATATACAGTAGCATTTTTAAAGATGCTAATGACTTGAGAGAGGAGATGGAAGTCAGGCATACATTTTAATTATGGGGGAGGGGTTGCAATAGCAAAAATGGTTTGGGGTTTTTTTTTTCACTGCAGAGATTTTAAGGGAATGAGACAAGGAAAAACAGACTGAAGATAGTTGCCTTCATTTGGCAGGGGTGTTTAATAAAAGCAGAACTTGTGGTTGTAAAGTGTGCTTATTAAATTCTTCATTTACACTACCTAATTAATTCTAGCATTTTAGATTAACAGTGAAACTGGTCCCTGCTGTACCGTTTCATAGCTACAGCATATTTCGTCCAACAACCCAGTTGTTCAGGTTTAATCAGCTGCGCTCAAAAAATGAGAAGGAACTTGGGTTAAAAAAAAAACCAGCTAAGTGGCATAAACATTTTAGAGCAGTATTAGATGAGAAGGTGACTTCAGGGAGGAAACCTTTGGCTTCAGATGGATGTGAGTGAGGCTCAGCACTAACCAGAAGATGCTAAGCTAGAGAGTATTGCAGATGCTCTTTATTTCTTATTTTGTTTGGAGAAAACCAGTTGCAAATATCTTCATCGCCAGAGGATGAGGGCTTGAATTCATGAGAATTCTCAGAAGAAATGCTGAACTTGTTTTGTACTGTGTTTGCAAACAAAAGATCCAGTCAGTGTAGTGTCCGTCAGACACTGTAAGTGCTTCTGGCCCACTGAGTTGTCCTTGTTGACATGGTTTGTGTGTGGGAGAAGGGGATGTTTGTTATTAATTTTTTAATTCATTTGGTAGCTTTTAAGATTCCTTTTTATGTTTCTCTGTAACTTACCCAGGAGCTTACACCTTTGAATCTTCAGATGATTGGTATCCAAAAATCTTTGGCTTGCAAATCTTTCTCATCTTCAAATGATCCAGGAACACTGTAAAGCAGAATATTTATTGATACAAGAGTTCTGTGCATCCCTTAAGTCATGGCAGGGTTTGCCTAATTCTGCTGTGTGGTACAATTTGATGTTCTTTGTATGTATAATCAGAAACTTAGTTGTTCCTCTGCCCAGAATGTAACTCTGTTGGTTTTGGGTTGTTTTTTTAATTGTTCCTTTTTCAATTCAAAATTTCTTTAAGATTATGTACAAAGACTAAAGTCTTTCACTTTAGTTTCAGTATTTTATATTTATGAACTGCAGTTTGGAAATTATCACGACATTGTAAATATAGTTTAACTATCAATAAATAAAAAGGAGAGAAAGAAATACTGACTGCTTTACCTGTAGTCTGCTCTAGAAGTTATGGATTGTTCACTCCTTTGGATGTTCAAGCATAGAATCCAAGAACCAAAACCTAGTAAAAATGGCAGAATCAGAAATCATGCAGCATTATGAGAGTATAGGAGGGTATTTTGCACATGAGAAGTGGGTGGTGCTCATTCATTTGTGGAAACCAGTAAATTGTTAACCTGGGAAGGCTGTTCTGCTCCTTCAACCCAGAAGTTTGTCCACACTGAGTTAAGTTGATATCATGTTCCCTCTAGAAAAAAAAAATTCCAACTTTTTTGTAAAATGAGAAGCCCATACTGAAAAAGTGCTACTGTAAAAAGCAAAGAACTAGATTTTATTTAACCAGGTCTGTTCAGCAAGTGATGGGGAACTAGTGTGTTTCTATCTAGACCATGCTGTTGAGAGCTGCATGTTTGCAGTTTGCTGAAATTTGGAGCTTAATTAAGTAGCCTTAATTTCAGCATCTGGATTTGGTAACTGCTTTGAAAGCAAGGGATGAAGAAGGTGTGTATCCTCAGGAGCAGAAGCCATTAATTGCACACTGGTGATGCCCAGGGAGGCAGGAGAGAGGGCAGGCAGGAATGGACATGTTCTCCAGGAGGGAAGCAGTGGCAGATGTGCAGTAGGAGGGAAAACACCCCCTAAGCTTTCCCTGGTAAGCAGACATCACCGAGTATCAGCCCAGTGTTTGCAGCAGGCAGCAGCCAAGTTTTATGTATTTTAATTGGAGGTTTTGAGGCATGATAAGAGTAGATAACCAGGAGGTCCCATCTGGGTTGGAGTCAAAGCAGGACTCTAGGATCTCATCATAATGTAAAGACAGAAGGGAAAAATGGGACTAATGGCTAAATTTAATTATAGGGAGCAGGCTTTTGGTAATGCAATTCATGGCAATAGGTAACTATTGCATGGTTATGTGTGCAGGTGAAACATGCTGGAAATTGCAGACGGATTAGTAAAATGCTGCTTTTTCAAGGGGAGAAAAGATTCCTTTTTTAAGGGAAATAGTTCACAGCTATTTATGCTTAGAAGCTGTAGATAGAACATGTATTCACTGAAAAATTCACATACAAAGGCTGGAAATGTTTCATCTATCTTTTCTTTAAAAGTTTTTTAAAGTGGTGGCCAAAAGTGTCCTGTGGATAGAAAAAAAAGATCCATATGCAGATAAATATAGCTTACAGTGAAACCTAGCATTAGGGTACCTGATCTGAGTGAAAGTCTAATCTGAGCATAAACTACTTCTGCATTTGATGTCCAGTTCATTTGATTGTGCTTTAGAATTGCCTTCCATTTTGAAATACTATTGGTTCCAGCAGTTTTCCCCACTTAAAATACATTAAACAGATAGGATTATAGAATGCAGGGATTATGTTAGATAAGACTTATAAACTCTATAAGGAAGTATGTAAACACTCATGCCTCATGGCATAAGCCCACCTAATAACAGGGTTTAGGAGAGAAATACCTTGTAGAGGTAGTTTATTCCCTTGTTGACTTGGAAGGGGTTTTTAGTAATTCTCTGTAGAGCGGTGGTAACTAGTCACTGATCTCTGATCATTTATTTGGCACAGATCCTGTTGCCTTGGACTGAGTGTTAGCAGCAATTTCATTGTTCTGGTAGAAGAGGAGAATTAATACAATCCTTCAAAACAGGGCAAAAAAAAAAAGCCTTCATACTGTGGTGATCACCATAAATTGTATATATATTTCTGGCATTTGGCTTGATTGTATTTAAAGGCCATACTTAATAGTGCCCCTCAAATTGACTGTATAGGGAATCTCTGTAAGAAGCAGTGGAGTTCTTGCATTTGACTTCCTTGAAAGCAAAAGACTTGGTATTTGCTGAAATAGGAAAAATATTTATGCAGTGGAGTACTCAGCTAGAGTTCTTTTGTCTGAAAAAATACCAAATTAAGTGAATTGCCTTAGGTTTTTCGGGAAGTGACTGTACATTGGCTTCACTGTATTTATTAGGTAAAGGAGATTTGTGTGGAAGTTACTTCTTTGTGTTGAATGCATAGACAAGTGTAGTGAAGAAAGAGTGGTTAGAGCAGTGTAAGTGCAGCTGAAAGTCAAGTGCCCAGAGAAGCAGAAGTCTAAGATAATGTAGTTTGGAACTGAAAAGAAAAAATTCTTTTTGCTGATCAGATGGGATACAGACTATGCTTTATTTTTTCATTTTATGCTGAGAATGAAATATTAAAAGACAGGGAAAACCAGACATGTTTCAGAGTCTTTTTAAATTTGAAATCTAGAATTATTTTTAAAGGACTAAATATATGGCACTGAATGTTATTAAAGACCTTTGATAAATTGATCTTAATTTCATAGCCTAGTTATTTTTATAGCTTATTTCCTGAAGTATATTCTGTTCTGGAGCAGAGATCAACGTAATTTCCATGTTGCATATCCTATTTTAAGGGCTTGCAGATTCAAGACAATTCCCAAATATTGATTATTTTAATGAACATTTGCATTAAGTAACTGAACTTAGCTCTGGGTGGAGGGGAGACACAAAAATGGTAGCGAGCATCTCAGTGCTGGATCTATAAAATCTTTTTTGTGTGGTTTGATGTCTGTGCTGAACGCTGAGGAAAACGGTCAAATTAGCATCCATCATTTTCTTTATCACTTCCCTGCAGTCGCCTGGTGCAGACTCTGTGCCAGCGAACAAAAGAATTTTGATTTCTTGATTATTGGAAAAAAGCAATTGAAATGAGTGTTGGGGCAAATAGGCAGAAAGCAAGCAGGCATGACCCTTGTGCTGCAAAAGAGCTTTCTAATTAACTCCACCAGTTTCAATCCTGAGCTGCTTCTGAAGTGTATTAAATGCCTCTAATACATATTTAGCATATTCTTCATTTTTTTGCTGCTTGGTTTGGGTAAATACCATCACCTTCCCATCAAGCCCAGTGTGGAAGGATTACCAGTGTGATTTTCCTCAACAGCACAGGCATGCCTACACCTCTGAAATCCTGACTTCCAGATACAGGGTTACCAGTGAGGCTTTCCAGTGTGTCTGCTGACCTTCTACTCTAAGACTTTTTTTTTCCATCCCTCCTGTCACCCGCATGGAAGAAGATAGCTGTCTCCCAGGGAGCAGCCAGTGAAATGACTCTGGTGTAATCCTCTGCTGATGGAACTCCACCCTTCTGGTGTTCTCTCCTTATTGGATCATTCTGCCCTCTCCTCGAGAAGCCCAGACCCTATGCTTCAGCTGCTTCTCTCTGTAACTCTTTTTCTTTTCTATCCTTTTAGCCCAAGGAGAAAGGAGAGGAAAGGAATGTGAGTGCCAGGAAAACTCTGTGAGACTGTCAGCAAGGCACTCCCAGCTGAGGCAGGGGACTTTGGGGCAGCAGCAGACAGCATACCCAGGTACCTGTCAGGGCTCCAAGGCTGACTTTGCCAGCATTTCTCCATTCCCTGCTGCTCAAGGAGTTCTGTGCTTCAGCCACACCTGTGAGCAGCTCAGCAGCTGTACTGTGGCTGTCACCTCTGCCTGGTTCCCCTGTGCTCTTGCTACACAACTTGTCCAGAAACAGAAGTGACCTGTGTAAAACCAGTTCAAACACTTTGGAAAGTGATCTAACTCCTGCTTTCCCTTTTCACAAGGCTTAACTTCACCAACACTGCATTTGGAGTTTGTTCTTGACTTTCATGTGGTGTTCGGTAAACTCGTGACTGGGGTTACTTGACCTGCCTGCGGTAGCTGATTCTCTGAATCAGTGAGCCAGGGAGTCCTTGCCCCTTTTGGCTTGCAGAGCTGATCCATCATCATTTGACTTCCCCCTAGCAAGCCATTTGTTTTCTCTGCGTACAAAAGAGTTCTGCCAAGGTGATCTTCACCTTGGCTTCTGGGAATGGTCAGCATGAGACCTTCAGACTGGTTTGGGGATCTGCTGCTCCTAGGGGTGTGAATGTCCTCAGCATTCCTGCCTCTCCTCTGTTTTCTGCTACCTCAGTTTATGTGCTGTCCCTGAACTGATCAAAGTCATCATGCAGGTTCCATCCCCTCAGAGTGTCCTTCAGATTTTTGCTTTTGGAGTTATTCTGTGACTTGAGGAAAGACCCAATTACATAATCAAGCCAACCTCTTTTCTATTTGTTTGTCAAGTGATAAGCCATTTGTAGAGGGCAGAGTTCCTTATGGGATATTTACTGCATGAAGGTCTTGCCTGGCCTTAAATATTTTTTTTTTTTCTCCTTTGCTTCCAGAAATCTTCAAAGGTTCAATATCACTGCTTAAAAACTTGGGCCATCATTTTAAGCTGACTTACAGTTAAAAGTTCTTAACTTCTAATTTTGCTGTTTACACACAAGGATATATGGAGAGGGTGTTTTCTATATCCTTAACGCTGCTCACCACCTCTTCTTTTCTCCTGCTTGAAGCACAGTTTCTCTTGCTGAACTGGGAGTCCAGCAACCTTTGTGTGCAGCTCACTGGCAGTCCTGTGCTTAGAGTCAGCACAGATAACCATCTCGGGAATCTGGGCTATTGGAAGTTGCTCTGATGCAGAGTGTTTGCCAGTAAATCTCTGGATTTCATCAGCATTCTCTTCATCTCCTGTGCTTCATTCCTGGAACAGTCATTGATAGGGTACTGCAGCCTTTGACAATTCAAGCCATTTGTGATACAGCCTGAGTTTTGTTTGGGCTCTTCTGCATCTCTCCATGTCTATTAAGACTGGTTTTGCTCAGGTACTATATTTCCCATTTCTGTGATACCACAATCTCGTGGTCACTCTCTGCTCTCATTCCTGTGAAATTCTGATTCTATGAGAAGAGTGCAAGAAATCATCGTGGCCAGCCCATTTCTTTGGCTTTGCTCACTGGTTCTGCTTTGGCTGACTCACTGCTGCACACTGGTGATGTAGCTGCTGTTCTCTGTTGTCCCTGAGCAGGATCCATCACTGACTTTGCAGATGTTGCTGCTTGTCCCTGCTAGGAATTTCAGCGCAAGTTACTGACTTGTAGGTACTGCTGGAGGCAGGATATTGGACCAGGCAGACCTCTACTCTGACACAGTACTTTTCTTATGACTCTCAGTATCTCTTTAATGAGTGGAATATATCAGCTTGAGGGGGAGAAAGACTGAACACTTAGTGCTTTTATTCACCAGAGTCCAAACTGCTTTTTTTTTTTTCCAGTTAGATGGTTTTCAAGGGGTGTTGCAAAAGCAGATGGACAAAAAGCTGCATCATACTCACCTGCAAGCAAACAAATGGCAGCATTGCCAGTGTGATTAATTGTTGCTGTACTAGAGAGGCTGCTGTTCCTGCAGTACAGCTCTAATCTCCCTGCTGCCCTATTCAGATAAATGTGCAAACACGTTTGGAAGAACCTTAAGTTAGGTATCAACAGGCTTCCTTCCTTTTCCTACAGAATTCTAGGACCCAAAAAATGAGGCTGCCTCCTCCTTCCCTGGGTTGCTGTTGGCTGGATGGAGGGGGTGTATTGACTTTCCTGGCTGTGAGGACGGTAGGTAGGGCATGAGAAGATAGGACATGTAACAAGAAGTATTCTCCAGCAGTTCCTTTTTTAGACTTCTCTGTTCTCCTACTTGCTGTATCTGTGTCATTCCTATTTACCAGTGCATATCTTTGCCCAGTTCTGTTTCTTTAAACATTTTCCTGCTCTGGAAGCTACTTTGTCTTAAACAAAAAAAAAAAAAAAAAAGCCTAGCCCCAAACATGAACAGCTTGGAAGCTTGACTGGTAACATATTTTTCCCTTATGGTTTCTGCTGCATTGGAATAGCTGCTCTGCTACCTTCATTTTGGTTTTTGGTAGTATTGTGGTACTCACTTGCTCCAGGTTAAGTATTTTGCCAAACTGGGAACAGAAGGAACAAGCTTCTTTACCACCTATGTGTTTAATATTGTGAAAAGCCTTTAATAAGAGTTGTGTATCACAGAAATTGCGCTGTTTTTAGTGGTGGTCAGCCAACAATGGCATCAGTCAGTGGTACATTCAGTGCCATACATGTAGATAATATCAGAATGGAAGGTGTTGCTGATCAGATTAAATCTGCTACCTTGACATTTTTGTGCTGGAGAAAATTTACTGAGGAGTATATTCATGCTAATATTCTTCTCAGAAAAATTACCAAGATCAAGTGATAGAACTAAGTAGTATGTACACACAAAGTCATAATATTTTCTCCTTGAAGTAGTTTTCAGTACTTCTGTTACCTGCAGGTATCTAAAAGGAATATTATAAACATTTGAAACCATCCTGGTTTTGCTTTAAAATTTTTGGAAGTACTGTCTTAAAGCTGAAACAAATTTTGTGGTGAGGCTCTCTACAGTCTATATATCAACGCATAGCAAAATTATTATAGGTAGCATGTTTTGGAATATGATAAAGTAACTTTACCTTTCTCAGCATCTTTCCAGATGCTGTGTGAAGTAATCTACGTAAATCTAACTATTACAGATTAACCTTCTTAGCTGTCAGGTTGCAGCTTTTATTTATGTTTCTGCTGATCAGATTAAAAATGCTGCAGTCACGAGTTGTGTTGTTAATATTAAATTTTGTATTCCGGTCTGTAATAAATTACTTCTGTGCATTGGAAAAAGTGGTTAGTTGAGCTCAGAGTTTAATTAGCAGGCTGTTGATGAGATAGAACAGGTATTGAGAGTCATTCTTCTGAATTACTGGGAAATTGTTAGTATTGTTGTGGCTTTTGATTTTTTGCTGTTTAACAGAGGCTGAGGTACAAAACCTTAAATGTTGCTGAATTAAATAATTTAATGACAAAATTACCAGGGCTTTTTGAATTTACAGCCAAACAGGTTTTAGATATTGATGCTGCAGTATAATATGTCCTACTTAATATTCTTGTTTTGCAGAATGTACTCTTGTTTTTCTCCAGTTTTATGTTCCTCTGCCATTTCTTTTAGACTGGAAGCATTACTGCCACCACTTCTACATGAAATGATTCCAAGTTTGATGATGAACTGGCGTTTACAGATCTTAGCTGTGTCTTTCCCCGTGTCCTCTGCTTGCTTCCTTCTTATTGACAGAGTGTGTCCTTGGCCTTTTTTATTAAAAATCTCTAGCCTGTGAACCAAGATCTTTGTTGAGCCAGGACTCTTTCCACTCTGCTGTCTTCTGACTCTTCATGGAAATAGGAGCCTTGGTCTGTGTGCAGGCTCTGTCCTTCTGCCTTTCTTCTACCACTCACTGCCATCATTTTCTAGTGGAGCTTCTCATAAGCTTTGACTCTGGGTGTCTGGCGTTGCCCTTTTTCACACAAGTTCGGTATATTTGCACCAAAACCATGAACATGGTACAGTATGGGCTCCCAGTGATCTGAACTTACTGTGCCTTTGGTTGAAGCCTGGCCAGTGAGTAATCATTCTGTTTATTTTGGTTTGCCTTAAGCTTCTGGTCCATTGTTCAGTATTAAATTTTTAGTTGCATTCTACTTTCATCTAAATTTCAGAAGTGCCAGCATTTGAGATGATGTGCAGGAAGGAAAATAGATCTGCTGTAATGAAGCATGTGCCTCTTCTGTGACCTCCTGGCTCAGGCTCTTGGAGTGCCTTTTCTCTTTGGTTTCAGTCTGATTCTTTCTCTACCCTATTATCATTTCATCTTCTTTTGAGTAACAGTATTAAAAGTAACACACTTCTAATATTTCATCTCCAGTCTTGACACATTAGAAGTATCTCTAGGCTTTTGTATCTCCCTTTGGTCAAATTTCATTAAAGGATACTGTGTTTTAGTGTTTTAGCACTGGACACTTCTAAGCTTGTGTCTCAACTCACTATTGAGCCTTAGGTCTTACTTTAAAAACGTGGTGACTACAGAAACTTACCTTCAGTTTGCCTTCCTTTTCTGTGGTACATATATTCCTTGTTGGAATTGTGTGGTCTTTACCATTCTTTTGTACTGCTTGTCCAGTGATGCTGTGTCCTTTCTCCCAAGTGTGACATCCCCTGTTTTGGATGAGAACTGTTTCCCACAATGTGTTGCATGCTTAATGTAATGCAGTGACTTCTTTAATTCCTTTTGCAGATTTTTTTTCCCACACTGCTGATAACAATTTTTATGTGTTGCTACATCTTTTAGGTCTTTTTTTTTTCTGGTTCTATTTGTTTTCACTTTTTCTCACTGAATCTTGTTTTCACTTAGCCTGTTTGTTTCTAATGTCTGCATTCTTGTGTTTAAGTCGTCTCTTCAGCATTGAATTTACTGTTCAGGATAGACAAGTCATGGCTGTTTCTTGTCCATTCATGCCTGTCCCCCGAACACTGGATTTTTATAGTACAGTCCCTGTTCTGTTCTGGGACAAAGCGGGGAGGAGTGCAGCCTTGCTCTTCTCAGAACAGCTGCTAATTCAGAGGCTGTGTGCTCCTTGAAGGAAGGGGG